ATGAACAAACACACTGAGACTGAAATAAATCTGACAGAGGCGTCTTGTGTAAAAATATAATTTACTTTAAAACATTTAAAAAGCACTATGTCTTTAAGAAAGCACATTAAAAACAAAGTCTTATCTGGGTATGTGAAGCAAGGCTATCTCCCTAGATTCCTCTCCACAATACCGAAACAGTTCACAAGAGAATAAAGCTAACATGAAGATAAGCAGCTTCGGCGTCGATACATCATTGAGGTAATAGAAGGGGCGCAGCACAAACTTCACAGCTAAAAGTCACCTGAAGTAAAAACAGTTCAAACAGCAAACATTGCTTGAAGCTTGTGGGAGGAAGAAGGTCCAGCAACAGCAGTCCCAATGATAGCTTGCGTGCTACAAAACAGCAAAAGGCAAGCATCCGTGGGAGTTTCTCTGCAACGGCGTCTGGAGTCCTTATCTGCATTCTTCTCCCATCTGCAGCATTTGCACATAGCTTCCTGCAGGAGCTGTGCATTTAGGCCTAAACCGGAGTCTAGGCCCAAATAGCAAGCGAAAAGGTCCTTGCTTATATGGGGAGTTAACCTGCAATTAACTAGGGCGGGGAAGGCTTGCAGGTAATTACAAACAGGAGATGGCTTGATTGAAACCATACTGTTTATGAGTAGGCAAGTAGCCACAGCAATCCTGGAAACACTCATGACAGTTTTGAATTAATCCTAGCGGTCCAAAGCCTGTATGGGTGCTGGAGTGGAAAATCTGTTGCATTTGTGCCAGCTGAGGACTTGAAGGAAATGAAACAGATTGCAGGCAATAAGGCATAGGTCAGCTCCTTCTCGTCACCTCTTCTTGTATTTGAGTTTAAGAATCCTAATAAAAAAGTGATCATTTCCACTATAAACTGTGCAGGGTGGAGTCTGAGGGCCTTTCCAATTGTCGATTCTCTTCTCTATGGCCATTCTCCCTTTTGCTAGCTCTCATCTGGTTTCTTTCTCTCACCCAGGACAATAACTGTGTTGCTTATAAAGCAGAAAATCAGGAGCAAAGATAGTTCTGGACTGAAATATCCCTACTCCAATGTTGGCTTCGTTGACAAGACTGTGTGTGCAAACTTTTCATTTATCATATCATCCCTTTGACAATGTGGAGAGGCAATGTTCACATTAGGAGGCTCAGCAGGGTAGACAGCTGCACTTTTTATGAGGGCCGTTTGTCTTTCATTACAATTTAACCTTTCTCTGAACAAAGGGGGAAAGAGCCTGTGATAGCAGGTGCGGCTGCAAGCATTCTTTCTGAGTCTCTTTCTATAGGCCACTGGCCAATCTTCCAACAGGCAGGGCATTAAGAATAGATGATGATCTCATAATTCAAGGACTAGGTATAAAATAAGAGTGCTGGAAGAACTACGGTTCATTGCTCCATTCATCCTTGAGGTTGGTAGGTTGCAAGGTAGAACCGAAGGGCTTTTTGCTGTGAGTTGTATAATGGGAACATTACTCAGCAAAAGGAATATTTTCGGGCATGGACATCCCTTTGATAACAATACTGTTGTTCAGTATTGCTGTGTCAGTAGAAAGTGTATATATTGACTGTCCTCTTAATTCCCTCAACACTGTCAAATTATTCACTAAGTCTGCATTACTATTACTATTAATCTTATCGTTCCTATCACCCATCTCCTTCCACTTACGACTGTATGACTAACTTGTTGCTGTATTCTTACGATTTATATTGTTTCCTAGTATGATTTGATTGCTTATTTGTACCCTATGACTATCATTAAGTGTTGTACCTTATGATTCTTGACGAATGTATCTTCTCTTTTTATGTACACTGAGAGCATATGCACCAAAGACAAATTCCTTGTCTGTCCAATCACACTTGGCCAATAAAGAATTTTAATCTTCTAATTTAGTTATTTGAACTATTTTCATTCAGCTTTAGTGGTTCTCCTATGATGTCAAGTCTATACATTTTTATGGGAGGCTTAAACTTAGAGGCAACTCTTTTGTCCCATTAAGAGACAAAAGATTGCTGCCCTCTTTCCTTATAACCGAGATATCCAACATGGTGCTTGGCGACAGCCTCTGTCCCATCTGATTTCCCTCAACCTATAATTTCAAAATGGAGAGCAATCAAACATCAGTTTCCAACTTCAGTCTTATTTTTTAAGAAATGTTTTAAAGACGTCTCTGAATTCCAGATGTGTCTAGAGGCATTTTACAATAAATTCTGAAAGAGGTTAGGCAGTGAGGCTTAAAACAAGCACTTTGATACAACTAATTTGCTCCACATTTTGTTGAATTACAGTAAAATTCTTGTTTCAAGCCCCTTTGAACTATGTACACTGCCTGCTACCTTTGAAGCACTGGAGCAAATGACTTTTTCCACCAGCATTAAGGTTTCAGTGTGGAGAAACTTGAGTTTTTGACTGAAGGAGATACTTCAAATTGGATCGTTGTAGCAACTGACACTGAAGTGTCTCCTTGACGTGGAGCTGTGCAACTTTCCATGGCCACAGCAGGTAGGCAGAGGGCAAAGCATTAAAAGCATACAAAATTATCTGAAATAAACATTCTATGGCCAACCACTTCCAAATGTATGAGCTCTGAAGAAAACATGTTTTAAAATTTGTTTTCAAAATTATTCTAGAGCAGGGGTCTCCAATCTTGGCAACTTTTAAGACTTGTAGATTTTAACTCCCAGAATTCCTGGGAGTTGAAGTCCAGAAATCTTAAAGTTGCCGAGATTGGAAACCTCTGCTCTAGAGATAATCATTCCCTTGATCAATTCTTTGGTGAACTTACTGGCCGAAAGTGTCCACCCTACAGCACCACCACCTCAATGAGGAAGAAACTTTTATAGAAGGGAACAAGAGACTTGTTTTTAGTTCCATTTCTCTCCATATATAGGACACAAAATTTTTGAGTTTTGTTTTTTTGGAATACAATCTATGCAAAATGTTTCAAGGAAAAAGAACATTCCAAGGAGTTGGTTTTATTCCAAATTGAGACTTTTTTTTTCTTATTGCAATATCTGTGAAACGTATTTGCTTTCTAGAAATTAGTGTTTTGTGATTAGTCTTCTTTGGTAGCATGCAGTAGGTTCTCAAAATTCCAAATTCTGTTTCTAATGCAAAGTATTTTGAGGCTTCTGTTTTAAAAATGTGTGTAAAGTTTCCTTTCCTGCCTGAAAATAGGAGAGGTATACTTTACATATTTTGGAAAAAGACTTCCAAATGTTTAACCCTGTGCAGAGCAGAAGCCCAAAACTCAGGGGGGAAAATGAAGGCTCTCAGATCCAAAAGGGGGCTCTTTGTAGTAAATAGCTGTAATGTCACTGAGACCGAGTGTGTCTATGGCTGTTCAGACTGCAAAATCCCCAAGAGTTCTTTGAACAGCTGCAGATACGGAGCTAAATAGCTTCCATAGGAATTACTATAACAAGCCAACAGTCAAAACCAGTAACTTTAAAATTTTCAGGTATTTAATACTCTCTTTCTGTTGTTTTATATGTTCAAATAGATTGCAAACCACGATAATGAAATATTATAACAAAAACATTGATAGTTTTTCAGCAACAGAGTTGGGCAATGGGTGGAGCTGTGAGAAGTCATATTGCTCCCAGTATGTTTGGCGAATAGTGAAAGAAACTGGAGTCAAACATTCATTTGGAGGACCAAATACTGTCTTCCTCATACTACACAAAATTGGGTATGACTTAATTTGGGTTTTTTGTTTTTTGGAATGGATCCTGTGCATAATAGATAAATGAAAGAACAGTATTATTATCTTATAATAATATATACACTTGCTTGAAACCAAGCTAATTTTTGTTGGCATGAATGCTCACCATAAAATGATGACAACCTCCATTTTATGAAGTGTACAGTTGTGCAATTCCTTACATATCTGATAAATAAGCCTATTGGAATTCATCAGGCCAATTAATCTTCGGCAAGAGTGGACAGCAGAGGTGCTCAATTTGCTTCCTCCTTCCCACTTTGGATAATGCTTCCAGAGCCTTTCCAAAAGTCCTTGTGAACTGTAATTTTCAATGTGGAAGCAAATAATACAACTAATTGCTATATTTAATTAGGTTTAATAACAGCTATGCAAAACATTTTTGCTTTGATCCATCCTAAGCTTGTATGTGTATGAAATATCCCACCCTGCGACAGAACATTCAGCCAGCTGCTGTGGATTCTGACAAGAGATCTTTTTGTGAATGGGCGAATGGAGATCTTTTGTGAAAATTGAAACAATAAAGAAAACCGCTTAAGGGATTTTTTTAAAATTTTAAACTGAATGAAATTGAAATGAATTGAAATACAGCTCTGCGTCCTTGCCTTGCTTTTTGAAATATGGGTCACTGGCGTGCCATTTAAAGGCCAGGAATGGCCCTCAGCTCCAAAAGGGCTGCACCCCTCCACACTGTATCAGATTGCAATCTAAGTCCTCCTTTCTATTTTCCATTTCAAACATTATGGCTATATAACTTAACTGACTTTTTCCTTCATTAACTTCTGGTCATTTCCAATTCCCTTTAATTGTCTATGCTCATCAGACTGCCAACATGGAAAATACAATCTTACACTTTAGAAACAGAAAAACAGGAAGGAAAAAAACATTGCATATTCAAGCTGCTACATCCAGTCCTGGATATAGCATTATCAATACCTTTTACGGCAGTGGTCCCCAACCCCCGGTCCGCGGACCGGTGCCGGGCCGTGGAGTACCTGGCACCGGGCCGCGCAGCGGCCGGGGGACATGAACGCTGCAGCGCAAAGGCTCCTGGGCCGTGCGCAAAAGCTCCTGGGCCGTGCGCAATGGGCCGTGCGCAAAAGCTCCTGGGCCGTGCCCCCACCCCTGCGCGCGCTCAGCGGGCCGCGGCGATAAAAAGGTTGGGGACCACTGTTTTACGGCATTCACATTCCAGGGTGATGACTGTAAGTCATAGGTACCTTTCAGAGCACCTGCCCTTTTCAATGATTTTCTTAAAAACAAGAGAAGATTCAAATATAATTCGGAGCTCTCTGCTCAAAGAATAGAGAAGCATATGAATAAACACGTTTTATTTTAATGTGTGTATATAATATATATTTTACAGACCCTGCTGTATAGCATTTATTTTTAACCAACAAACAACGTGCTAGGCACTTCACAATTTGAGGATTTTTTTTTTTTTTTAATAAAAGAAGTACATAAAAGAGTCAGCTTTCTGGTAAAAACCCAATACATTTCCTCATGGATATGGCATACAGTGAAATACTTGTACATTTATGGTATATGATAAGGCATATTTTTTGTATCTCCAGAAATAATAGCAGCCCCTCCCCCAATAGAGGTTCATTTCCTTTTTTTCCTATGATAGAGGTAGAATGGAACCCACCTGTGGTTCTTTTTTCCTTAAAACATGATTGATTTGATTATCTTCTTTATCCAACAACAACAGAAAAGTTTCTCCTCCTTGATACATTGAGGCCAGATGAAGCACCTCTACCAGCTGCCATCCTGTATTTAACTGTATTTCCAAACCTCAACCCAATGCAAGTAGAAAGGATAGTTAAGATCTCAACAACTTCCTTCAAAAAAAGAATTGATTCCAAAACCTGTCTTTCTATCGTTGGGTTTGACTGTACCTACCTACAGTAAGTGATTTGAAAACTTCCAGAGGTATTTTGTGAGTGGAAAGCTCTTGCTTTCTCTGGCAATTCAAATTTCTAAATAAAATAATGGAAAAAAGGTGATTCTGGCTGCTTAGCAGAAAGGCTAGTACCTATTAAACAGTTTCTCAGCCAGCACAGGAATTTGGGGAAGTCCACACATTTTAAAAGTTGGCAAGTTGCACTAATTTATTTCCCTTTAAACTCCTTAGGAAAGTGGGTTCTAAAACAGAGTATGATGCAATAATAAGTAGCCTTTTAAATTAGAGATGAAGCAACGTCATTCATTATTATATTCCCTTCAAGTATTTAATTTATAAAAACAGAACTATAGCTAAAGGGAGAAAAAAACCAACATATTTCTTCATTGACTGGACAGTTCTTATTTTACTTCCATTGTTTTCAGCCTTCATGTATGTAAATTCAAAGTTGCCACAAATATCATCAGGAATGTATACAATGCTTTAGTGAGGCACATATTCCATGGTTCAGATGGAGAATTTAAATCAAATGATGCTATTTAGTTCTCAAAAGCCAGTTAATGCCAAGTCCTTTATGTACTGAGGCAAATACATCTTAAATCAACAGGGTGACAAAGATCAGGCTCAGGGTTACATGTTTATGGGTTAAAATACTATGCTCAGATTATTCACATTTTAAACCAAAAATGAAAACATTATTATTAGACATTGTTGTTCTCCCCTCATTCCCCCCAAAACAATACTGTAGTAACTGGCAAAATGTTGATTTTTAAACTGGGCTGGGAGTCCTGTCACACTTTCAAATCTTAATGGGGAAACTCAGTATGATTAGCAATGGCAGGCAACTTTCTCTTAAAAAGAACTTTCTACCATTTCCATGGTTTTTCCTAGCGGGTCAGGCAGAGCGGATAGTGGTGTAAGGCAACCCTTCAGTTCAGACTGAGTAGCAGAACCAATGCTAGAGCATCTTGTGTGCCTTGCAACCTGCAGCAGGATTTTTGGCAGGGTCCTGGGATTCCATGACAGTTATACCTATAATGAAATGTTTAGAAGGCCACATGCTGTCTTTTCTTGGGGGAAACCTGACAAAGCGACGTCCCAAGCATCCACAGTTGGTAAAGGCAGAAGAAGCACCATGCTATATAGTAAGAGGCATCACAGGGTATTTATTAAACTTCTTCTGGCATATTTACTCATGAGCACAGTAGAAATGAGACCCGCATTTTCTCCAACTTGCAGGAGAGGATAAAAGGTGGACATATGAACATTTTATGCAGCAAGGCAAATGACATTCTTTTAAGCCTATCTGCAACTAGGCATTTATTCTATGCAATTATTTGCCTGCACTAGTCAACTGGAGTTCCTCAAGCTTCTGGAAAATATCCTTTAGAAGTCATGTCCAGCTTTGCTTTGTAAATCTCATTGGGTATCCTCTTTTTGTTATTTATGCATTTGAGGGCTCACTTTCTCATTCATATAAAGCCCAAAATGTTTTGTCACCTGAGGCAGAAGAGCAAATTTTCCTGCTGCTTTTCTTGCTTGCAAAGGTAAGGATTATCATTCCAAAACTAGCCAAATTATTTTGACACCCAAGGCAGAAAAAAATCCACAACTTCCAGTTTCCCCTGTTGTAAAAACAATAATCAGTTCCAGGGCCTCCAGGAGGCACCTAAGGTAGCCTCAATGCTGCCTATAGACAAAGTTAGCCTAAAGCAAGAGAACTGTTTGGGAATGATGATGGCCTTCACATAAACTTGTCAAAGACAGTAGAATAATGGCAGCAGAGAGAGGAAAACTTTGCTGCTTGGTATAAATGAGTCAATGGAAGGACCAGAAACCTAGATCTCAACAAACTCTAGAGCCAATAATAGGGGAAAAAACACAGCCTACTATAGTGCCTGTAAGCATATATAAGGTGTTAAGGTTAACGGCTAAATGATGCTCCTCTCCTAACTATGGTCAGTTTCAGTGATAGGGCCTTGGTTTCCCTTGGACCCAAACCTGAGAATTCTGAGGTAGATTCACCCACTAAGTGAAGGGGAACCCTTTAGGCAAACTTGAAATAGGACCTCAGAAGAAGTTATTGAGGAAAAATGCCCAATTCATTTGCAGCACTGAGGAAGCAAAATTAACTGCAATAGATGCTTCAAGTACTTTGTAGATCCCAATGTTGATCCTAATGTTAAAAAAGATGACTTTTTTCAATGCCCTTCCAAATTTCTGCTCTTGACTGCTACATATCAGTAGCTGCTTTAGCACTGGTTTTGTGGACTACAGATAAAACTATTCACTGCACTGGTGAAAAATGGAGCAAGCTTCAGTGACACTAACTGTATTCTATTTGCTCTGGTTGTAATTATGACCATCATACAACTCTTACTTACAAGAAACATCTGCCTGAACCCCTAACTATAAGTTATCTTATCTTAAGTTACTGTGCTGAACCATTCAAACATGAAGGTCTTTAGAAAGGGTTCTTTTACAAAGAATTTCTGGAAATAAGATTTATTCTAAAGATTATATTCCAGAATTGAAAGCATTGCCAGTGAGTTCCAGCACAAAAAAGGGGACACCCTTTGAAATAAGCAGGTGTAAGTTAAACATGGCAGAGTGCCATGTTTAGGAATAAGAGAGAAATTTGTTCAATTAATTTAGGAACTTACCAGGCTCACCAGTATGAATCTACATATTGCAATCTGCACAATTTGCAATTCAAAAATAATAATATAAGTGTATATATTAAGGAGATGTGCACACAAAAATGTCTATATTATGTCTATATGAATACAGTTTCTAAAGAAAGCTCAAGAAGAAAAGTGCTTTAAAATGAGTATATTAGATTACTCTTCTGCCACAAGAGGTTCAAACATTGGCCAAATCCTCAAACACTGATTCAGGTAAAAGGAAATAGATATATTTATCTATCCTTTGTCATGACAATTAATTTAAGACTATGATCAGGTTCAGATTGATACTATCTTTAAACTGAAAACTGCTAATGTTTTTCAGTATTAAAAATAAATTGACATATGCATTCAGGAAATCTCAGGAGTATCTTTTTTTAAAAAAAATTCAGAAATATAAAAACTATTCATAATATATTCAAGTCAAGTCAAGTCACCTGCTTAAGAATTTTTGGTAATTGTATGGCAGGAAAAACTACTTAGGTTTCACTATTGAGTTATGGCTTTATGAAATGTGCAAAGAGAACAGAGTTGTATCCAAAACGTCAGTTTTTCCTGACATAGTAGTAGTTTTATCTCAGATGTCAAAATGAGACTCAGCATTAGAAAAAAGCTATACAAAGTAAACATTTGGAAGAGTATTGGGAAAAAAACCCAGAATTGACTTTGGATTTTTTTTAAAAAAACCCAAAATAAAAAAACCCCAAGATTAAAAAACAATTATTTTGAACAGAAAATTTCAGCTTTGCATATTTGCCTGCTTTTGTTACAAAGAATTCTGTGTTCCCATTGAGATGTTTCATGAAACAGGCAACGAGAAATTTAGTTAAGCATGATCCAAATAATGTTAAACACTTGTATATTCCACCAATTTCAGATGGAAGATTAAACACATATTCAACTTCCCACTGAAATCAATACAAGATTGCAGCCTGATTATATGCATATTTACTTAGAAGCGAGCCTCACTAATTTAATAGGAAATGGCCTTAAAATTTGCTCAACTTGGCTGAATTTTGCCAATTTTTCATTAGGGAAAGCAGATTCCAACTCCTGTGACAGCAGGAAATCACATTTTGTCCATCCTTTGGGTAAGACAGATTTAACGATTGTCAAAAAAAAATATTAAACAAGTACAATGGAACCTGAAGAAATGTTATCATTTCTTTTCCACCCAATCCCAAACACACATCCACCTTTGAGGTGAACCACAATCATACCTAATCAAAAGGGAAATAGAGCACCATCCTTTGAAAAGAAGCAAGCCTCATTTCTTAATCTTTACAAGCAGCTGACTCTCTTCACCTCAGAAGAGTCATTACAATATTGTTTCAAAGCAAGAGGAGCTACTCTGCCCATGTTATAACCAACTTAGGACAGCAATTATCAAGTGCAAGAAAAAGTGCCTATAAAATAGTGTAGCTACTATCACTTTTTTCTCATCTCCTCTGGAATATCTAGATATATATTCATATCTAGCATATCTAATCTTGTGTGTGATTCTCAGATAAATCCTGAGAGCTCTACAATTACTCAATTATTTCAGCCCTTGTCCAGCTCGTAGGAGCAGAACTGCTCAAAATTGGTTTGCACCAGATCAAGGAACATTCCCCTTGTGGTTTTACTCTTTCTATGGTGATGAGGTTCAGCTGATTGAGAATTCAATTAGTCCTGAGAATGATCTCAAAGAGGTGGTGTTCTTCTTAAAAAGACCTTGCAGAGGAAAGTGCATCTAATTTTCTCATCTGCAATACCATGGAGTTTCCCATGGAAGAACTGCTGGTCAATGGCCGCTTGATGGAATAAATTCTGCCTCAGGCTTGGTTCCACTCTTCTTTTAACTAAACTACAGGCTCTTCAGCTTTGGAATCACCACGCAGAGGATAAATAAATAGATGTCCTGGTGGAATAGAAGCTGGTAACATGCATAATTTCCCCTTTTGTTGTTTCTTGGATCTTTCTTATGCAACAAACCAGCAGCATTTTCCTTTCCTGTCATTCACTGAAGAAACGCCGTAGAACAAATTGGCCCAGCAAAATCACGGCTGCTACCATCAACATGTATTTCCAATAAACATTGCTCAAGTCCAGTGCTGCCACCTAGAGAGAGAACAGTACCGTTATAGATCCAATTCTGTATCAGCCTTCTCCAAACCTGGTGCTATCTAGAAGTGTTGGTCTTAAACTTCCTGCATTGCCATCAGCCTGCTCACTGGGAATTACAGCCCCCAAAAGAGGAAGCATTAAGTTGGGGCAGGTTGTTTTAAGATCTTCTCTCAGCATATTCCCGAGTAATTCCAGAAAGGGACACTAGTATCTGAAGAACTAAAAAGTATACACTTGGTTTTTAGAAGGAAGACAACTCTCTACTGTGCCTTTCTTCACAATTATTCATCAAGGTCCATGTGTTATTTTACTGTTTGTTTAGCTGTTTTGCATCATGGTCCAGAGGCAGTATGCATGCTTTAGAAACAGAAAATATTAGCCTCAGTATCCCCAGATAGATTTACGAATGCCCTTCCTGGAAACCATTTGGAGCAATTTTTAACTGTGGCATATAAATTATAGCAAAGCAATCAACCCATCTGCCAATCAATCAATCTTGGACAGCCTCCATCAAACAAGGCAAAGCTAGAAAGGCCAATCATTTGACCCAGTTGAAAAGACAGCTTCATAGGTTCCAAAGGTCTCTGGCTCAAATTCCTGTCAAGAGCAGCTATGCATTTTCTTTGGCCTCTTCAGTTGAAGGAACCAAATAGCATGTTAGGCTTCCACATTACATCTAGAAGCCCTAGACCAGTGTTGGCGAACCTTTTCAGCACTGAGTGCTGAAACGGGAACACATGTGCGTGGGGGAATGCCGGAAACTGGAAGAGCAGCTCCCCGGTGCGCACACGCGGGAGCACCAGAAACCAGAAGAGCGGTTCCCTGGTGTGCATGTGCGCACCAGGAAACTGAGCTTCTAGTTTCCGGCATGCGCATGCACACCGGTCACCTGGTCTTCCAGTTTCTAGCGTGCATGCACACATGAAGACCAGCTGGCCAGCGCATGTGCGTGGCAGAACCCAGAAGAGCAATGGGCAATGGCTCTGTGTGCCACAGGTTCACAATCACGGCCCTATGTAGTTTTTTTTTTTTTAAATTTGATTTATATGCCGCCCTTCTCCGGAGACACAGGGCGGCTTACAATGCGCTAAGCAATAGCCTTCATCCTTTTTGTATATTTATACAAAGTCAGCTTATTGCCCCTACAACTGGGTTCTCAATTTATCTACCTTAGAAAGGATGGAAGGCTGAGTCAACCTTGAGCCTGGTGAGATTCGAACCTGCAGTTCTTGCCTATCCGAATAGATTCTAGTTGCCTAAATGGAGAAGACGACTTGATACAAACTAAAGAATACTCATGCTTCTTTGGTTCACTTACCCATCCTCCTTGCTGAGCAATCCATCGTGCAATGCGATTGTGTAGCACAAATTCAGCCATGTAATGTGCAATTCTTCTCAGGAAGCCAGTTATGCCATGCTGGTACACATGGATTGCCATCCTGTAGCCGAAGCCCAGCAAGGCTATCACACGCCCCCAATTGATGCCACTTTCAAACAAACTGGGGAAGAGAATGGTCAGCTGCAATTAGAGATTTTCGGTTCTTTTCTGCTTTAGGAACGGCATTACACTGATGCCACGATCACAGCAACTAATATCTCGTTCATACTAATGGTTCTAAAGGGAAGAAGAACTGCAGCTTGATCCTGGGAAAACACTTCTGCAGTTTAAGAAACTGCTGACAGGTGTTATATGTGTACTTGTGCACTTTCTAAAGCTGTGTTTCTTAACCGTAGCAACTTTATGATGAGTGGACTTCAACTCCCAGAAATCCCCAGTCAGCCAACTCCACTCACCGTAAAGTTGAGAAACACTGTGTAAAGTAGCTTTCTTCCTCTGAATCTGATCGGCTTCCCAGACCAATAATAATCATTATCATGATGATTAGGTTTTGATTCCAGCTTTTTTATATATTCTGTTTAACATTTATGTGAAGCCGCTGGGCGAGATCATCCGTGGCTTTGGGGTGAGATACCACCAGTACGCAGATGACACCCAGCTGTACATTTCTTTGCCTGTACAATGCTTTGCCTTTCTGGTCACTGGCTGCTGAAAATAATAGCAAAATGCAGCTCCCCACCCCCCCTTTGATGTTTTGCCTGTCCACAGAAAAAAAACTAAGTCCAGTTGCCTCTTGAAAAAGTACCTTTGGGACAACCATGATCTGGATGACTGAGAATCTCCATAAATATTTAAATCTGCAGGATCAGCTCTAACCTGGCTATCCCACTCTGGAGGGAAAGAAGCTGGCCTGTCTTTCTGCTACAATGTCCATAAAGGCTTATTCTGCCACCATGATGTTGGGCAGCAGCCTTTTTTAAAAACCTGTGCTTGTGTGTAGCTATAGATGTTTCATTTTTAACTTGGTATATGGTTGCTTAGAAATAATCTTTAGCTATCTGATAGGGTGAGTCTGATATCCAATTTAAAAAATCAGCTGTATTACATTAGAATTTCAATGCGGCTGAAAACATAGCAGGCATAGCATGGAGTGTGTTCCCGTACATAGCAACTGAGAAAGAGGAAAGAGAAAGCACAGTAGGTGCTGTTTTACCTCAAGGCAGCAAAATGGTGAAACTTGGCTTCCCAAGGAGGGGACAGCAAGAAAAGAGGACAGGAAAGAGAGTTAAATAAACTTTAGATGGAACAGGAAAACATTGTTTGTGAATGTAAAGATGCATGTATACATACTGTCACTGTTTTCTCTCTGTTGGTGATTTTTACACTTTGTGGTTTCTTTTCTTTAATAAAAATCAAAGGGAAAGGAAAGAAAGAAACAGAAGGGAAAACTGTGGCTAAATCTTTCCTAAGCGGAACACCCTAAACCACTTTTGGAGTTCCATACAGCCTCTTGTCTGGGTATCACTATCATTATAATCTCCAGGTTCATAACAGTTTTCATTGCCTTCATGATACTTCTGATGGCCTAAGAACCTGAAGAGGAGTTCTTCTGAATCAGATCAAAGGCCATTTTTTTAGTCCAGCATCCTCTTTCCCATGCTAAGGTAACACATCTGGCAAGGTCAGTAGACTACTCTTGCTGCTGTACCCGATCAACCAACCCTGAATGGTAGCCATTGCTGTGTGTGATTGATTGAAGACCCCACCCTCTTTTTCCAATCTGGCTTGGACCCCATCCTGCATGGAGCTCCAGATGAGAGATATATCCTGGGTGTGATTTGGTTTCATGTAGCTTCAGTGAGGCTGCGAGGCAGCTTCTGAAGTCAGAGCACCTTGTCCAAAGTTGATCCTTTCTTTCCACCTTCACAGGGGAAGATCTGACATACCCTTTGCTCTGTGGGAACCTTTTCCAAAGGCCATAGAATTGCAGATTCCTTGTAATTAATACAGTAAACAGGAATGCAAATATGTAAGGTTTTGTAAGATGCCACAAGGCTGGCCTTACATTCAGAAGATTAAAAAAAATATTTTAACTGAAGAACCAATTGCCTTTCCCCCTACACAGTAGTAAATCCAAGACTCTGCTATCAAGAGGTGCTTTATGTAATAAAGAAGATCCTCCAATTCTCCTGAAGGCTTAAAAACCATTTACACAGAACCTGTGTTACCCAAAGCGACAGCAACATATGATTAAATTAGGGGCTGGATTTTGGAACCAAGGTAATAATTAGCATATTTTTTTAAAAAAATGTTTGATATATCTGATTATGAGAATAGCTTAAGCTAGATGGAAAGCAACCCCCCCCCCCCCCCCCCAAAAGATCAGAGTTTAGATTTGTGATTTTAGTCTGCTCCATTCTTGTTATTTGTTTGGTTTGCATCCACCAGGGATCCTTGTCATGTACAAGCAGTATAGATGTTAACATCAACCACAACCTTAAAAAAAACATAAGCATCAAACTCTGGTAGATGGCCATGGTCTCACTTACCTGGAGGCTATTCTGGTGAAGTACTCATATGCATTGTCCTGGGAAGGCTGCAAGGACTTCAGCATCTCAGAGAACTCCTTGTCATACCGTGCATTGATGTCATCAGCAATGATAGCTAAGCGTCGACCCACCTGACTGTTGATGCTGCACAATGAACAAATGAACCGGTTAAATTGGAACATGGAGGCAGACTAAGTAAACATTTAAGAGCCTGTGGTACTTACCTATTTGGCTCCTGCTGAATTGCGGCAATTTCTGGATCAACTGGCACATCCCCCTCAGTTTGCTCCTGCTCCTGCTGGTATCGATGGAAAGCATAGCTCTGGAACACCTCCTCAGTCTGTTGAGCTACCAAGTCCTCTGCAGAAGAGATAACAGGATCCTTCAGTGATCAGCAGCTTCATTTTGAGCAGAGGTAGGTCACAATCATTGAAGCCCAAGGCCCTCTCCTCTCAGATCAGGCCACTGAATGTCACGAGCAAAAACACCAACGTTCAGCAGGACATGTTTTGTCCCCTTCCTAAAACACTGAGAATGTCTCTTAAGCCTTTAAAGCAGGGGTGTCAAACTTACTTTCATTGAGGGCCGCATTAGGATTGTGTTTGACTTTGGGGGGGGGGGTGTCGGGGGGGCATGGTCAGCTCGACATGCAGCCCTCCCGAGCTCTGTTTTCACTGGCAGAGGGCTGCAGGAGCCCATTGTGGCAGGAAACAGAGCCCAGAAGTCCTACGTGTGGCCCTCCGAAGCTCCATTTTTGCTGGCAGAAGTACCATGGGCCAGTCCTTTGCTGTTTCCAAGGTGGGCCCACGGACCAGATCTAAGCTGGATTCAAGCTGGATCTGTGGGCTGGATTCAACCCGCCGGCCTTGAGTTTGACACCCCTGCTTTAAAGGAATTAACACATCTATTTTTTTCCTACCTCTCCACATCCACTTTTTCCCAAGGAGTCCAGGCCACAGAGATATGGTTTTCCCTTCTTTACTTGCTTATATTATTATCACAAAACCCTGTAAAGCAGGACAGACAATTTTTTCTGCTTATAAATCCAGAAAACTTTCCTCATTGGATTTAATAATATGTTTTCCCAGTTAAAAGTTGCTCAAAGCTGCTTATGGACAGAACATCACCTAATAGTAATGTGCCAAGATCATCACTGACCTTGATAGTCAAGTCAGAACTTGAATCTTGTTTTCCTGGTTCAAGTATTTTCCAATTAATTCTCTCCAAATATGTTCAGCAACATTGTCTATTATACCGCAGATGCTGATGGAAAAAGGCAGCTTCTGCTTAAGGATATTGACAGAGTTTGACTCACAATTCATCTTTAAGAAATTAAAATTCTAGGTCTTAGCTAATCTGCAGCTTGTTTCTTTATTCCAAAGGTACTTTTCAAAAGGCAACTGGACTTTCTTGGTCTCTTTTGCTTGAAAACATTTCACTTCTCACCCAAGAAGCTTCTTCAGTTCAAGTGAGTCCAGCTGCTTTTTGAAAAGCATCTTTGGGACAACCATGATCTGAATGATTGAAAATCTCCATAGACTTGTTTCTTTATGTTGCTAATCCCCCAAAAGGGAGTCTAACTCAATGGGGGAGGGGTGGGGAAGAGCTTTTCCATTGCCTTTCTTATCCAGTTTTGTTTTTTAATCTCAGCAAATACGTACAACATGGCATTCTGAACTGCTGCCTTTACATACAAAGGAAGAATTACTGTTACTAAACAGCAAAATAACTATATTTGCCTTCTGCAATATAAAGAGCAAAGAAACTTCTTAAAAAGAACTGTAACTTATGAATTTACAGAACTTAATATCTGACACCTAGGAACAGCAGGAAAGAGCAATGGTGAAGCAGTAAAAACTGAATGGTTTACAATCTTCCCCATGGTAATTTGGTCACCGATATATTAAATAACAGAAAAAAATCCCCCAAATCATATTAAGCATGATAGTATCTTAAACTTCCACAATATACTATGGCACACTTCACCACATCATCCCAAAGACCCTCTAAAAAGCCAGGTCTTCATAGCTTTCCTGAATGAAACAGTAGTAGGAATATGGCCATTCTCATCTCTGGGAGCACCTTTTTTTTCCAAAGAAAGGGGAAGAACTGCAGAGAACTCTCACCTAAGAGCTCATGATGATGAAATCCCCAAAGTCTCAATTCTGCAGCAAGCCTTCTTTTTTTTAGTTCATCAGATGGTCAAATTTCACTTAAGGAAGGCAGCCTTGAAGGAGCTGGAAGTAGAAATTGGGCTCAAATTTTCAATCCCCCTTATTCTCCATCAGTCTACAATTATGGGCTACGTTCTATACACAGGTGAGGTACAGATGTCAGTAGTCTATAACAGGGGTCTCCAACCTTGGCAACTTTAAGACTTGTGGACTTCAACTCCCAGAATTCCTCAGCCAGCTTTGCTTATGAATTTGTTGAATTTTGAATTATGGGAGTTGAAGTCCACAAGTCTTAAAGTTGCCAAGGTTGGAGACGCCTGGCCTATAATACTCATCACACATTGTCATAGTCCATGCAGACTGAACTATAACTATGCACAACTAAGAACTCACTAAACAGAGCAGCAACACGGAAGAAGACAATGCAATCTGCAGAAAAACAGCTGGTAATAGGATTATCCCCCCCCCAATATTTGCTTTTCCCTCTACACTTCTCTCTCCCATAACTCTTTTTTTTACCCATTAAAACACCCCAAAAGATTTTGCTGAGAAATTTTACTCTGGCCTTGAGAAAGGAAGTGGGAGAAGTGAAATGACTCAGCCCTGACAAACTGTATGAGAAAACGTGACAAAGAGAATCAGGATAGCTCCGTCTTGGCTGTGTTGTTCTTAAAAAAGAGGATAATACATATTCTGTTAATATACTCTGCAATAATATAATAGCGTTCCTCGAATCCCTGTGGTGCCTATTTCTTGATCTGATTTACCCTGGAGGGCTGACCGATTTTAATATTTCATATGCTGGATGAGAAGAAATGCAGAAGAGAAGGCAGCAGAGAAAGAGATTAACCCTTCGTCATTGGTTACTTCTTCTAAACCGTGCCTGCCCCCCCCAAGCTATTTTTAGCTGTTTTGATAAATGACCTAAGCCTATTGCCAGTGTGTGGCCTCTCTACTCCTGAAGTGTAAAAGACAAAGCCATAATAGAGAGGGCTGCATGTACTTTACCCTCTGTTCCCCTATATTTCAACTGAGAATATGATTATGTGTGCTTAATGGATATTATTTTAGATATTTTGCTCCATTATCTTTCTTTTCAGCTAACAAGTAAAGCCAAGAAATGCAAACTTTTGTTCCTCTCATTTCCCAACAAAAAAGCAGGACATTTTCTATTGCACTAAACTATTGTAAGGTAATATCCAAAGCAATAAAGATTCTTTCTAGCTGCAGGATCATTATCATAGGCCAGCACAATGCTAGTAAAATGCTGGATTGTGGAAATTCAAGGTAAAACTAAATCTAGCCCTATAGCTCACTGATGATTTTAGGACAATTCAGCCTAAACTATCTTCCAGGATTATTATGAAGGTATTGGGGAATGGCTATGTGTCCTGAAAATTCTGAGGCCAGACAGCACAAAATCAGAATGCAGTAATGCAAACATATTGACACTAATGCTTATCATATATATATGCACACTTCCTTGGAGTAAGCTTCAGTCAAGTTCAATTCCTTGTGACTTTAGATACATGTGTATTTTACTGTTTGTGAGCCACCCTGAGTCCATTGGAGATAGGGCGGCATATAAATCGCATTAAACTAAACTAAACTAAACTAAACTAAACTAAACTAAACTAAACTAAACTAAACTAAACTAAACTAAACTAAACTAAACTAAACTAAACTAAACTAAACATGTCCATACTATTTTTCTTAATCACAGTAAGAGCTATTGCCTTCTTCTGTGATCCCCCCTCCCCCCGCCAATTTCCCAATTTAAAGTACAGCCTTGGGACAGAATTTGTCAAAACGACAAAACAAATGTGGTGATAGTACCACATAAAAGTTGCTTCTTTCATGTACAATATTACAATGAATATGGGATGGATCTTGTATCACAATTGCAGTGTCTTTTGTGATCTGTCCTCCTGTCTGGGATTTCCTTATGATCCTCCATCCAAGAGCTAAGTAAACCTGACTCTGCTTATTTCTTGAGCCCACACAAGGTCACAAAGTCTTGTGGCAAAGAGATTGGAGTGTTTAGAATGATCTTGAAAATGCCCTCTTCTACAGGGCATTACGAATCATTATGAGATGCCAAGTACTTTTATATGGATTATGTTATATTTATCATTTATGTTTTGTATCTAACAAAATTTAAAATCACCAAAGTTTCATGTAGGTCCTGTATGCTCCTGCCACTTGCTATATACTTCACCATGTACTTACTGTCATTCCAAAATCATTTAAGGTCAGAAACAAGTTGATGCCATAATTCTGTACACCTTGTATGTGCCACTAGTACTGCTGAATGTGGCCAGGGTGGATTATCATCTACAATGTTTGGGCTGCACATTTGACATTCAGTTTCTAGATGGGTTTAGGATTAGTATCTTTATACTAAATGCAATTAAGACCTCTCGTCAAATGTTTATGTCATGTATGGACACTGCAGGTTAAAATAAAACATTAATTTTCAGAGGATTGCAAAGGACGATAGCTATAACCTACAACCTTAAATGAGGTTTTGTGGTTAGTGCAGTGCTGTGTTCTTTAGTTTCCGGTTAGGCATGAGTTTTTTTAAACCAACCAATTTGCAATCTTATGAAATATTCTGTGTCCCCTCACCAAACCTTCTTCTCTCCTTTCCCCTCCAACAAGACCGCACTATTACCAACAGCCATTAGGGGGGAAAAAAATCACCAATGTTCTTTACAAAAACGTTATTTCCTTTTGCTAAGATTTTTGATATTTTCTAAATAAATCTCCTTAGTAGGATTTGTATTATGAAAGGCAAAATAAAACTAGTATCGTCAATAAGAAATTATACCCATGAAAGCTGTAATGCAGTTAATATTTTTTGTACTATGTCAGTGAACCTCTTGCTGTCTTTCCAAGCTATTGACCTTTCCAAGCTATTTGCAGCCCTCCTCCAACTAATTGCATATTTATACAGTATCTATATTATAGCATGAAGATTGGAAGTATATGGGAAAGTCTTTCATCTTTCACTTAAAGAAGCCACTTAAATTATTTTCAAGAGCTGAACTTTCATTGGAAGGCTAATTAAGGTGAGGTACAATGGAGGGTCCTGATATGGCTGAAAAATCAGAAGAAATCAGTGCCTTGCACCAGATCAGCATAGGTTGGGAAAGGAGAACAGCCGCAGAAAGAAAAAGTAAGTAA